GCGATCCATTTCGCGGTTTTTCTTCTATACATCACGAGTTTACTTTGAATTATCCTCCCCATTAATTTTTAAGATCGAAACTTCCTTCCTAAGACTTTAACGAAAGGCGTTGCGGCCAATGCTCGTGCCGCGTTATTGTCGGAACAATCTACGATATATAAACGGATAAAAGCACAGAAATTCTTCCGATGAGGTAGCGAGTATCGTTATTGCTTCCAATGATAGAGGAGAGATCGGCGGGGAGAGAGCTCGATTATTTCCCTCCCTCCTCTTTCCGGGCGTTCCACCGCAAACTGATGGACGTTTCGCGGATTCTTTCGCGAAACCATTATCCAACAGCGGTGGTCCCACGTGTAACGATCGCTCGTTTACGTTATATACAGCTGCAAGTGAACGGCCGAGAAAACGCGGAATAACGGAAAGGAGGAGGGAGTATTCTCGGAAAACCTCGATATATATATTTGTTCGACAGTCTCGCCGGCGAGAATACGAACGGCCGCGGCGTCTTTTGTGCTCAGTCGCGTTTGTGATTTGTTGCATCGTCCCTTTGGTTCGAGCGGCGACATTTCGTCGATAATAGCTTAAATTGGCTGAGAAACGTTTTCATAATCGAATATCGTCACATGTGCATGAAAAGCACCAATCTATCGCGCTGAAAAGCTGCGTCGAGCGGAAACTCACATTTCGCTGATTCATTACGCGATCGTTATTCTCGTTCTTATTCGGCGTGTTATTAACGAAAGTTTGATGACACGCTACGTTTCATTTTTTAAATCGTATCATTTTTTGACAACGTGAACATCTTGATCCCTAAACCTCGAACTACACTCTGTTAAAATGAAACTCTCTCGGAATTAAATGAAGAATAAAGTTTCATTATCTTTTGGCTCCTCCTGAAGTTGAATTCTGAAAAACTCTAGTCTTAAGCCGCTTAGGAACTTTGAAACTTTCGGCACCTGATATTTTTGTAATTTTAGTTTACAATGTAAAATTAATTTAAAACGATATACTTAAACCCTCATTGGCAGCTTTCATTTTGCCTTAGCTATTATTTTCGCGATTTTTGACGATGTGAGCATCTCGATCCTTAAGCCTCAAACTAGACTCTGTTAAAATGAAACTCTTTCGAAATTAAATGAAGAATAAAGTTTCGTTATCTTTTGGCTCCTCCTGAAGTTAGATTCTGAGAAACTCTAGTCTTAAGCCGCTTAGGAACTTTGAAGCTTTCGGCATCTTGATATTTTTTATCAAGAGAAAATTTTTAAACTTTATACAGAATATTATGTAAGATACTGTTTGAACGAAAAGAAATTAGTTTACAATATAAAATTAATATAGAACGATATACTTAAACCCACATTGGTAGCTTTCATTTTGCCTTCGCTACTATTTCCGCGATCCGAAGAATACAGACGATAGCCCAATTTATCCGAGATAGGCTTCTCTGTTCCTTAATTAGTTTGCTCAATGGATCGAAAAGTTAATCATACTCTATCGATTTTCGTCATTACTTAACTTCAGGAGCTAAGCTCAAAGAGATTAAGACGTGACAGCTGCGTGACATAATTCCTTTTGGATGATAACATCAAAAACTTTTACCAGAGGGGAGGAGGAGGCTCTTGCGCGATGATTAGCATTCGAGGATTAAATCGAAATATTCTTCCTCCATGGTGAAATCGTGAGAAGGCGTCCATCCGTCGGGAGAGAAATAATGCACCGAACTTCTGAGCGGTTTATTCCAAATCTTAAACAACGCAAGAGGGAGAGAAAGAGAGAGAATAAAACTGCCGGACGAGAGTGGCCGCGCCTTTGAATAGTGAGGGTGTTAAAAACTTTTATAAAAGTTGAAATTGAAATAGCGAGAGTGAAAGCCTCTCTCTCTCTCTCTCTCTTTCTCTGTTTCCAGAAACATGAGGATATCATCGTGTATGAGCTTTTCCCGCTCGGCCTTACTCTATTAGGATTCTAGCTGCAGCGGAATAAATTGAATATACCAACGAATGTAAAAATATCCCGCAGCGCTTGTTTCTCTGAATAGAACTTCTGTCGATATATACGCGGGTAATTTCGTAAAATGGACTTTAAGTATCGCGATTCTTTTTCCATAATTAAATTAAAATGTGAAATGTACGCTTCATCGATATGTAACAAATTAAAACGAGAATATATAAGCGCGCCAAATATATATTAAATTATCCGATTAGTTAACTTTCTCATTTTTTTTTTCGTCATTTAAACCGCGTAAAAAATATGATTAAATTTATCATTATCAGAAAATTTAGATCTTTTATCCCTATTTCCATTATATATAATTTTTTCGAAATATACTATTTATTAAATGAAATATAATTGTGATAATAAATTGAAGAAAAATACGAAGACGTTAAGAAGAGAAATACTCGTTTGAATCGCGATGTAGGAGGGGCTAGAGATCCCGGAATCGTAGTACATCCTGCGGGATACCCTGGCGGGTTCAGGGTTAACGAGAGTGCGCGCGACGCGACGACTAGAATAATAAGGGCGGTTAATAGAACGGGCGTAACCGCGTCCTCTCAACCGGTGTTTATCTCCGGGGTTGCAGCGACATTTCCATTTGGCTTCGCCGATGGCGAGGAGTTTTCGGAAACAGCTCACGAACGTTTCCCGATGCACGAGAGGATCTTGCGGTAGCGAGATCTGTCCGCCGGCGGTTCCGTTCGCGGAGGCTGCTAGACGTGCGAGTTAATTCGGCCTTTCGTTCGGGAAATAACGGGGCAGATTTTGAGGGCGTTTAACGTGCTTAATATCTCACGTTAGGTGTCTCGCCCCGGCGTTTTCGACGCCGCAGCGATTAACGCGTACGATTACATACTTGATCGTCCGGCATCCGAATCGCGCATGATCTTCCCGAGACTACATATATACATTTCATACTCTGCGAATGCACAGTCGTCGATCGGATGGACGAATTAATTATGCGAGTTTTGGATTTACGCTTAAGGGGGCATACCCATTTTAAATCTCGAAAAATTAGTACATTTTCTAGATTTTTTTGCAGAGGACTTGATAAAAATGTTTAATTTCATCGGATGCTGTTTCAAAATTCTGCACCGCAATTTTGTAACGTGAACGAATTTTCTTCGTGCGATTAATTTCACGTGTTGTGCGCATCGATAAATTTCTTTCGAGACAATATATTATTTGATTTTATATAGAACCATAAATTGAATTATTTTTTTTTAGTTTTGATATAAGAGAAAAACGACGGTAAGAAAATTTTTTCATCGTTTCAACAAGAGATATCCTCGGATTAAAAACTTGTATTCTCTCTTATTTCTTTCGATCGCGAACTATTTTAAATTTCAGCCACTCTTTTGCGCAACGAAACTTTAAGCGATCATTAATGCCCGATGGAAACGATTTTATCGTGAGACGGAGTGAATCTGCCGATGGTTTTCTCGAGGTTAAAGGGGGGAGGGAGCGGGGGATATCTTGAGGAAACGTTCGACAGGAAGTAGTCGTCGTCGTTGTCGTCGCCGACAACGACATTTCAACTTTCTGATCGTGCGATCCGCCGGTAATTCGATTCCCGTCGGCCACTTCCATCGGGCGTTAATCGACCGACGCGGATTTCGAGACGCGAAAAAAGCGGAATTTGCGCGGCGACGACGACGACGCCGATGACGACAACCGGGCGCGGGCGAGTCCGCTTGCTCCGTTCCCTCGACGGAGATCTCGTTTAATTTATGAACGTGTAATTAAGTCAGCCGCTTCTTGCGAGGCGAGGTCAACCTACCGAGAGGATCCATTTACCCTCCCTTCCCCTTCCATCTTTCTCTCTCTCTCTCTCTCTCTCGTCTCGAAGCTGCGACGATATTACGCGGCTTCCCCGATCCGCGGAGTTTTGCTTTCACTTCGTAAATTACTTCCGAGTCATTTCACGTGTTCCCTATCTTTCGGAATGTCATCATCGCGATAAACGCGAAAAAAGCGAGTGTCTCATACTCGAGGGCTCTTATGGACCAAGCATATGTACACAACAGTTTTTTATCCGAGGAAAGCAAAAGTATTAAGATCAAAAACCTATCCTTTAAAAGAAGCTTGCAAAAATCCGGAGTCATGAATATAAATATTCATGATAAATTGTATAAATAAAATTCAATTAGAAAAACAATCTGTATATATAATAATACAGATTGCAGATAGTATGAATAATATAATACTAATAAAGTGCATCATTTTGCACAGCTAACACTTTCTTGAAAACTCTAAATATTTTATTATAATTTATTTTAGCTATAAATCTTTTTTATGATTTCCGTAATTAATTTCTAATCCAGTTTATTGCGATAAATAATTTCCAGGTTGATGATTGTTTAATTATTAAATTTAATAAATTTTAATTATAAAAATATGTTATATGTTTTTTAATACGCTTTTAATGCAAACATATTATTAACATCTTGTGATTAAAATCTTGAACGACGAATAAGCTATATGTTGACGCTACTGATCCTTAATTATCTATGTTCCATTAAATTATGCATCGGCAATAAATCGATTGAACTTCGACAATCCCATTTCGCAGCAAGAAGAAGCTGAGATTGTCGGAAAGTTTCCAAAGAAGTGAAAACGTGATCTATTTGGTTCGATCGCTAATAGTAGATTATCGACGTAAAAGTTTTAAGTAATTGATCCAATCGGGCTTTCCTTAGAAGAACTTTCCTGACGAAGCTTCGAATAATTATGTCGCTTCTACAGATATTCGATTCACTAAAAACTTACGTCACTAAGGCTTTCTGATTCGATCCAAGTACCATTTTTCTAAAACGTTCTCGCATCAAAACAAGTTCACAATTCATTTTTAATCTTTGTGAACTTAGCACACACAACTTTCAACGAATCAAGTTCACGATAAATAGCTCAAAATAAAATTATCACGAAATTATTCCAAAAATCTCGAAGAAATAAGAGTGCCATTAAATGCAACAAATTGGGGAATAGTTTGCGTTTATACTTACAGATACGAGTCTTCTTGATCCCACGATACTATCTCCGTGACGACAAAGTAGCCGGATGTGAGGGCGGTGGTGGTCTGTTTGCCGCTGGTTGCATTCGTAACGAGCGCAATGTGTCGCCAATTGCTACCATTCTTCTGTTTCTGCGGTAATATCAGAAGGAAGGACGTACCGTTCTCGTTGAACATAGGCGCCTCGAACTGTTCTACCCAGCCTTCTCTTTCGCTATACGAGAGCGCCTAAAAACAATCAGACATTCCTCCATTTAATAAAATTCTGTGTTCTATCAATTTATTCAAATCCAATCTTTGTTCATAAAAGGATATTAAAATTCGTTCATATTTATATTCTCGAAAAATTAAATCACGATTAATTTGCATTGTCAATATAAAAAATATTTCACGGAAAAAATATATTTTATGACATAAAGTTAATATTACGTGGAATCAATTTTATTATAGAATTTCGTCGTGCGAAATTTTCGTCGATTTGCTTATAGTTTGTAAGGTTCGAAGTTTCGTAAGACACTGGCGAAGGATTCGACAGTGAAACTGTAAATTAGACGAGCCTCGAGCGTGCTAATTAAAATATTATTGTTCGACTAAAGGAAGAGCACTCGTCTAAATTAAACCTCGCGTGGTTTCGGATAGAAAGAGAGAGAAAGAACGTAGTCTCTGCAAAGCGGACTATCAAATAAGTTTGCGGAACCGTAAGAGCACTCTCGATGAGGACGAGGAGGTACTTACTACCGTGCAATTTGGCAGCAGGCTGTCGACGTCGCAGAGCTGGAAATACGCCTCGTTTTGCACGCGGTTCATCCAAGTCGCGTACACGAGATTGTCCGTGGGGAAGGCCACCGCCGACAGGATCCTCTCAGTGGTAGACAGCTCCGGCGGATGTTCGATCTCCACCAAGGTCACGTTACCTTGCACCACCATTTCGAGATCGACGCAAAATAGTTTGATCGTTGGATTCGTCGTGCCACTCTGAAACGAGAAAAAAAAGGTTCTTGTGAGATACACTGACGTCATTACCAATAATGGTAAAATAAACCAAGAAAAGGAGAAAAATACGTTTACCAATAAAAAGAAGTCCAATCAATCGGTTTTACTAAAGTGAAATAAATGTACCGTGAGAGAAAATATTTTCCGTGTCGGATGTATTGCTTTTTTATAGAATATTCTATATTATTTAAAATCAAAATTAAAAGATTTTAGCTGTTTTAACTAATTTTTGCGACAGTTCGATTCTTCGAACGTAAAATATCACAGTTTTGCGGGAGGCGTAAGATGTAAAGATGTTTGCGTATATATTTGCAAGAAGATGCAATTTTCTTATAAAGTGCGTGAAGTTGTTGTTTACGCGCGAAAGTCTTTTAATGAAATTGGAAACATAAATCTTCGATTCTCCGTTTACCGTAGCTGTTCCTTTACTGATTACTTTGAGTGCATCTGAAATCCTGAATCTTAATACTGAAAGTTTTAATGACAATCCTGTTTAATACGAGGAGACGCGAGGCGCTGTAATTGCTGTTCGCAGTGTTTATTCGTTTGTTCGACTTCGCGATATTCTACTAATATTAATTTACTCCCTGAGTAAAATTACTCTTTGCTTTATTAAAAAGTAAACGCGCTGCCGCTCGAAACGTGGTTGTCTTAGTTGTTTGTACGCAACTTAAGTGAGATGATGCTTGATTACGCTTTAGTAAATTATAAAAGTTTCTCGTTTTCACACACATCCTAACTTTCAGCGAAACAGCAGCAACTTATGTCAATAGCCGAAAGAAACATTTCACTTTTTGATAAATTTTAAATAGTAAAAGCAAACTTAATATAATTAAATTTGCGACACAAAGTTCTATAAAAATTCCATAGGAGTTATCAGAAATATAATTTAATATAATTTAATAAGAAATATAATTTTATAAGTTTTTTTATATAATTATATATTATTTTATTATCCATTATGTAAAAATCCAAGTAAATGTATATTAATAAAAAGGAAAACACATAATGTCATATTTTTCGATAAAATGCAGAAATTTTTGGACTCGATGCAAATTTCGTATATTCGTATTTAATGTCTTTGTCGATAATATTGGCATTTTCCAAATGGCACAAATTTATGTTACGAGCTATTTCGCTGCATAATGACCTATTTGCGAGTCGTAAAATCAAATTATTCGAGTCTCTCGAACATATTTGCATTTTGTTATAATTTGAGGATTGTGAAATTTTGCGCGGACACGAATATTTACAAAACACAAGCTCGCCCTTTTTCGTAATACATTCTATCTTTGATTGGAATAAACGTTTATATGCGATTCCATTTACGCGACAGTTATCACGAACCGAATAAATTTAACTAAAATTCAGATATAAAAATAAAGTTTACTTCTATTAAAGTATTTGTTAAAGCATGAAGACTTTAAAGCATAAAGTCTCGAATGAAAAAAAAAAATCCAAATAAATGTATAATTAGTGCTTTTCTTTGCGGAAATGACAGAATGGCAGTTTGTACCTCAAGCGAAATGAATCACCCGGGACTGACGAGATCGTGACTTTAATCCATCCGAGAGGCCTGGAAGTTTATTTACTTATAGAAACGCTTCTCTAAAAGACGGCAGTGGCACTCGGAATAAAACTGCACGTCAAACTTTGAATTCTATTGCGCTCCGGAAGAGAAATCGATTTCGCCGTGAACTTTATTCGGATATATGTGACGGTATAAAATATCGGTAGTGTATTTGTCATAATCCTACGGTTTCCATTTCGCCGTTCGATTAAATGCATGCACGTTTTGTATCACAGGAATAATGATTCCCATAACAATTGTTTTACAAAGATAATACGATTCTTGTGTTGTTTAATCTTTTATTATCATCGAAATCAAATTTCAAATATTTTGAAATATTAGTGCTGTAATCAACAATTGTGATTATTTCTGTAGCATATAATACCCGATATTTTTTAATGGATATATTAAATGTACTCTGTATTTTGTGATTGTCTTACAAAAGAATTAAATGTATAATTTTATTAATGAATGAAAACACAGCGAAAACACTTGTGCATAAAAATGTGCATACAAATAGAAATGTTTCTATTAAATATTAGACGTCATTTTTTCGACTTGCTTATCTACTCCTGTACGCGAGAATTTTTCCATCTCGCGATTCATCGTTCGAAGACAAAGATGTCACGCAAAAGGTTGAATCAACGGCGGATATTTTTCACGTCATGCCAAGACTTTCTGCGGCGACGTCAATCGCGTGTTATGAAAAGACATTGAAAAACGCAGAGGTGCCACGTTCACGTTCCTCTCATCTTTTCAGGATGTAAACTTCGGTTAGAGGGCTTTTCATATCTCGGACGACGGCAGCGCGACGCGAAGATTCGCGAGGAGACAAAGTAAAGGAGACGTTTCCGAGAGCGTCTAACATAGGAATCGCTGCTTTTTAAAGTGACATTATGTTTGCTCCGCGAGAAATTTTATTTTATTTTCCCCGAATGCGCGCGAACGCTTCTTCACACGGGAAAATGATCAATTAAAATAGCGAATATTAAAAATGTAAAATATCTAATGGACATGTTCGCTGAGATATATTATACATGAAAAAAATATCATATAGGTAGAGAAGATACATAAAATAATTTATTTGTAGGAAAAAATAATATCAATATTTAAATTTTCACATGTACTTGTAATCTAAATTAGCTTACGGAGCTATTGCATCAAATTTTAAAGACAACGAATAATTTGTCAATAAAACCATAAAAATGATAATGATATTCGATGAATTTAAAATCTACGAAATAAAAAAACTATAGCGAAAAAATATTTTTGTTATCATATATAATAAAAATGATGTGAGCAGTGATATAAGATTAATATTTACTTTAATACTTACTTTAGGATAGTGGATTGGTATCGCCGAAGTGTATTGAAAAGTTAAGCTTCCGGGATATCCGTAAAACGGTATGGTCATAATGGGAGTATTCGAGTCATCGAAATAGCCGAAGGCTAATTTGTTTCCGCTCGGAGAAAACCAAAGCGCTTTATTCGAGCTGAATACTTCCTCTGTAACAACAAACGAATAGGAAATTAGATAACAGATTATTAAATTCGTTTGGCTTTATGCATATTTATACAAGCGAGATTTAAATGCATATATAATTGAATCCTGTATTTTTTCTGTAAATATTTGAAATTGTCGCAACGACAATACTGCTGCAAATATATATGTGAATTATCTAATAAAAGACTTTACATATAATTATTATTACATAGATCCAAAACGTGAATTTTCACGAAAAAAAAAGAAAAAAAATTTCTCGTTCAATCACAAACCAGTATGCTTTCCCCTATGTCAAAGTGTATCCTCGATGCACATTGGCGTGTATAAATAAATGAAGCGTGAAAAGGCTCATAGCAACCCTCTTATTTTCCTCATTCCGTCGCTTTAACAAAAACACAATCGGCAATAAAAACTACGACGGGCGAAATTATCGTGGATATATTGCTTGTATCTCCTTGTCGGCTTTTTTTGTAGCGCTATATATATATTTTTTTTTTTTCACAAAATATCGTTGGATCCTGCGACATTGTACGAAGCGAGGAATTACGAGGACCATTTCGTCCTCTCGTAAAGAGAATTTCACAAGCAAAGTTCATCGCGGGGCATTCCACTCACTTTGTATATAATTATAAAGCGTACCAACGAGCGCATGAATAGAAGAATATGTATTTTGAGACACGAAGGGAGAATCTCGTCCCTTTTATTTTGATAAATAAAGCGTGAATGAATGAAGGAAGAGAAATTCCTACTTGATACTAGCATTCTCTTGCTCTATTCTGTTCCTGCAGCCTGGCATAATAACTAATCTCATCAAAGACTCGCGTATATATTGATTTCAGAATTCAAGCAATACTATTCTGTAGTATTTCGCTATTTTGTAGTAATACCTCTTTATTTTGTAGTAATACCTTGTTATTTTGTACCTTTTGTAATGCTTCGCTATTCTATAGTATTTCGCTATTCTGTAATCCCTCGCTATAAGACAGACGACAAGATGATTAACATCGTTTCTGATTCGGAACGAGCCAGTAAAAAGCAGCTGTGAATTTCCTCTCGCCAGTCAATTCGCGTCTCGATAAACAAAGCGCAAATGCTCGGAAAGGATCTTTAATCAGCGCTAATGCCACTTTTTTCCCATACGTTGCAAATAAGGAGACCTGACAAAGGGAGACCGCTTCCCCCCTCTTTTTGCCGCGTCGGTTCGTAGGAAAATCGCTGATGTAATAAGCACCCGAGGTTCATAGAGCGTATAGGAACATCGGAAAGGAGCCGAACGAGTTACGGGGGAACCGAGCGGAAACTCTTTATTTCGTTTCTTCTCAAAAGAGGGGAAACTGTGGCTTGCGAGCGCACTAGGACGTAAATATCCAGTTTTCAAGAGGCGAGGAGCGTCGTAGGAAAAAAAGAGAGAGAGCAGGGAAAAACGAATAGGCAAGGAACGAACGGAAAAAGAGAGAGAGAGAGAGAAAAGGACAGTGGCAGATTAACCCTATGATGCATGCTCTCTGAAATGAAAGTTTATAAAAGAAAAAAAGAATGAGAAGAAATTATTGCGGGATATTTAATTTAGATATACTGTAGAGTGTAGAAAAATAGTTCGCAAACAAGTCTGGAAATTGCGCGGAAGAAGATGAGACTCGATAAAAAAAAATACGGAGAGTATCGCGTGTAAAGAAAAAAAAAAAAGGTAGTATTATCGAATATGAAAAACATCCTTCCTTACGCGCATACATACACACACACAATTTAAAATTAAAACAGATTATGAAAGTTCCTATATCTTTAAGAGATGCCAGATATTAAAAATAAAAAATAAAAAAGATTTAATCATTAATTTTGAATTATAAAAATAGTACAGCGACTGTTTCGATTTCTTCAATTTCTAATTTTCATTATTTTTTGAGCTTCTCGGTTAATGTTATACACGCTTATATATAAATCCGCTCTTGAGAGATGCGGAGCCAGAAAAATGGGAGAAGTTAGCATATTTCGAGAATGTCAGCGAGACCTTTGAGACTCCCGTTGGATCCGGTTCGCGACGTTGCGAGTCGGGAAGAAACGTGAGAGAAAAGCGGGGCAAAAAGCCCTGTCGCTGGCAAACCCGAAGAAGCAGAAGGTAACAAAGGGAAGAGAGAAGTGGAGAAGAGAATGGCAAGAGATCGCGGAGCAAAAGAGGAAGGGAAAATGCACAAAGACCCGACGCTGCGTTGCGCAGTTCGCTGGACGTGACTAGGGAGAAAAATATCCCGAGGGTGAAATTCCGGGTGGACGCGAATGTATATGTATGTATACGTGTGTGTGTGTGTGTGTGTTGAGACTGCGACGACGGGATAAGGAAGCTGCCGGATCTGAATGGCACGCGAGGAAAAACGACGCTCGACCGGCGAACAAGTCCTGTCGAGCGACCGATAAATCCGGTTTGGCAGGCCCGCCGGCCAATTACTTACGTCCGGTAGTGTCTATCTCGGGGAGTAAACTTTTTTATAACTCCTCGCACGGTTTCATTGAGCTATGTAAGTCCGAGTAATCTTCTCGGATAGGTGGTGGGTGGTTGTTCGCTTTGAGATGTACGAGGATAAGATTGTCTTAATACGCGAAATAAAAGGAAAAGTCCTTATTTCTGAATTTTTTTCAAGCTTTATAAACCGAGACGATTACAGGAAATGAAGAAACATTTGCTTGAGGATTACGTTTCTTTAAGAATTGTATATTCCAATATAATCTCATTCAGAAAATTTTTTGGATATAATATTCAAATTCTGCAAATTTTTGAGAGAAAGTTCAAAAAGATGACAAACTTTTAAGTGCAATTATTAAATAAACTAATACTCGATACAGTTACATTATTAGAAAGATCTACGTGTACTTTATAAATCAATATTACATAAAACGAATTGTTTTTAGTTATTGTTTGGACGCTAAAAGTTTTCTGTTATGATACGTGTGATGCAGCTTTCGGTATATAAATGCATTGCACACGGACGCGACTGTCATATAGTGCTCAAAGATTAAATAAACTCTGAAAAATAGCGAAACCAATCCAAACCTTTTTCCGAGAGATATTCCCATCGAGATTGTCAAATATGTCGCAAGAGGGAACGGGATGGCGCGCACACGAGGGGAAATGTAAAATGTATCTCCTGCATTTCGTGTTTACGGTTTGCAACGGAGAGGATAACGCATATTCCGTGCATAGAATATAAATCTTACGCGAAGGACGTTTCTATCGAGGAGCACATCGCACGCGCGCCACTGTCGTGCAAGGAGAAACATTTCGGAATCCGATCAGAAATCGGAATCCCGTAAAGGGGAGAAGGTGCCATTAGCTATCCGGGATTTTTCGAGAAAAGGATTCTCTCTAAATCCCCGCCGCTCTATTAATGTCACATTCGCCATTGTTGAAAGAAGTAGAAAGCGCGGATTTCCATTTTACACGGGATGTATTAATGTCAGAGCGATCTCTCTCGCGCCAGATCTTACGACTAAGTGATGATTCTGCAGATATCCGATACGTGTTTCATTTATTCACTTCCTCCTCAATCTCTCTCATAGATAAGCATGATATTTTCTCATCTATAGAATAAGCGCGAGAAAATTAAAAAAAAAAAAAAATTACAAATACAGAGAGAAATATATTTTAGTGTCTGATAATATCGTAATATATATAATTTTTGTTTCTCTCAACGAAGAGAAAACCGAAGTAAGCACAATTAAAGCGATTGCAACATGAGATGCATATAAAATATTTTTCATTGGGAAAAAAACTATTTTTTTCATGAACTATTAGATTAACAATTATATTAATTAAATAAAATAAATTAAAATAAGATAATATATAAATAAAATAAAATAAAATATTAAATTAAATAAATTTAAATTAAATTAAATTAATTAAATTAATTTAAATTAAAATGAAAATAATTATATGTTTGAGAATTATCGTGATATAGTGAGACTACGAAAATTACGCCGATTAAATGTATTTATAACGATATAATATCTCGCGAAGTCAAAGGGAAACAAACAATTGTAATTGATCAAGCAACGCGGCGGTAATGTAGACCAAATTATTGCGCGCCAACAAAAAGCCTTTAATAATTAATCCAGCACGGAATGCACCTGACATATGGTACACCTTCCACAAATTTCCGGTATAGTCCCTGGGTTTTACTCGGTTAACCCGTAATTTACCGTAATATCACCATAACTGTAAGATACGACATCTTCATCAGTATCTATCTCGTAACATTAATATTTCCACGTCCTTACAATACATTAGATAGATATAATTTATGATAATCTCAAAATATGTTCCGTTATTTTTTTGTGAATTTATGCGTATATTATGTATATCAACAATATTAAATGAAATTAATATTAGTACCTCTAATAATTATATAATATTGTACGACAGTTAATATTAAATTTAATTATGTATGCAATTCTCCTCTAAATTAATTTAATTAAACTTAAAATGAAGAAGAAATTTTTGCCTTCAAGTTGAAAATGATTAAATTCTTCGTGATTTTTCAAGTATTAATATTATCATTTAAAAATTATTACATTGTTTCATTAATGAAATAATGATTAAAGTAATAAAAATAATATTAAATAGTAATAAAAAACACCGATAAATACATTTATTCATTGTGATGCATCGGTAAATTCTCTCCTCTGGTCGCGTTGAATAAAAATTTTCAGCGCACGTAAGTCAGTCTATAGACACCAAACACTGGTTACGAAAATCTCAAAGCTACAATAGACACTAGATATACGTACATATGTCATCAGCGAAACCCTCGACTGACGGGAACAAAATATAGACTGCTGAAAAGTTCATTCTTGGCATGCTTGTAGAACGGCGGTTTGACACTTTTTGACGACTCTTTCGTGACTGTTCGACTGTGTAAAATCGCGAGCCTGCACCATACGCGAGATGAAACGTTTTTCGTATCGCCTGCGGTTATTGCGAATCGATTTCTTGTGACGTAATAACTGCGAA